CCCTTCCTCCTCTCCCCACCCCAAAGAGAGTAGGAAACAGGAGGCAAATTCCAATGTAATATAAGAAGTAACAGAGTTGTCCAGTGGTGGAGTTGACCGCCGCAGAAGCGCTGTCGCAGGAATACTGAAATAAAGATCCATTCTGTTCTAGACCTAGCCATCCAGCCTCAAATAGGGAGCGAGGCTAGATCATTACTTTTTCAGCCTGAGAACTATGAATCCACAAGTTCAACGGCTACAGCCTCTTTACTGCACACCCTGTTAACAGCATGCCATTTCCTCCTTCCGCCCAGGCAGCCCTGCTAGGGGGTCCTCCATCTTCCTATCAGTCGCTTTACAGGGAAAATTCACTTCTCAGGTTAGCAGGGGCCCAGGCTCCATGGTCTGTGGCAACACCTGACGCTACAGTCCTCAGCTGTGTCTTTTCAGAAGCTGTGTCCTGATTGGCCCAGGACAGAGGTTAGCACGTTCCTCTTCACCCGCAGCAGCTGTGGCGAGGGCTAGTGACCATCCCACGACCCAGCACATGCCCGAGATGCAGAACAAAGTGACAGATCAGTCCTGAACATACCACCCCGGTCGTGGGGGTGACGCGCGGCCCTTACCTTCTACCGAGGGGGAGAAGATGATGAGATTGTCATAGAGGAACTCCCCGTACTTAATAAGGGACAGGCTGGGGTCATCTGCGGTCTTGAATGTGAGTTCAAAGCCCCGATCTGCACAAGGAGAAAACAGGCAACTGAGGCAGATGGAAACCGCCGCTGCAGAGACCGCGACAGCCCTCCCCTCGCCCCCAAGCGGCAGCCAGACCTGGGCGGCCCGCTCGTGGAGAATGAGTGCGAGGGAGTGTGGCCGTTGCCCTCGGGCTGGGGGGCCTTTCCAAACTCAGACTTTCACCCGCCGCCCCCTCGGACCCCCGTCTCACCCTTCAGACTCCGGAAGAAAAGCGAATGCGTCTCCCGCAGGTTGAGGTTGTCCAGCAGCACTAGGGTGCGGGGACCGCTGGCGCCGACCAGGCCAAGCAGCAGCAGCAGCCACAAGAGGGACCAAACACGGGCGGCGGCGCCAAGTTCCATCTTTCTACTCCTGCCAAAGAACCCGAGCACCTGGACACCGGAAGTACCCCATCTAAGGCCAGCCAATCGCGGCTCGGGGTCCTGGAGTTCCACCCGGAAGTGATCTGGGTACGCCGGGGCCGGGCTCCAAGAGCCGCCGTTCAGATGATAGGAACAGAGCCAGGAGCACCACCGGAAGTGCCTCGGTTGTAGGCGGAAACTCTCAATCCTATTGGCGGAAAGGGAACGAGGCTCCGCCTCCCCAAAGTAAACGGCTCAATCCTAGAGAGACAGCTCTGCAGCCCCGGCCAATCAACAGGACGCTTAGTCTGACTGGTCCCGGCTTGCGTGGGGCCTCCCTGGACCACTTTTTCGTCTCTCTCTGGTCCAGTCCAGCCTCGGGACGAGGAACCGGGCCCCTCCTTCACCATCTCCAGAGAGGAGACGATTGAAAAAATAAGATCAGGGACAGGGACACTTTAGACTCCTGGCCTGGCGTGGCCTGCCCTGCCTGGTGGCCCTCCTGCAGGTAGGAAAGGGCGGTGGACTAGCCTCGCGACAAAAAAAGCCCTACTTAGGCTCATTCCCAGGATCGGTCCCTCACGAGCCCCTTTACCCCGGGGTTTCACTCCTCTCCAGGCCACTGTGCTAGGATGGAAATAAAATGGCCAGAGGCAGCTCGCCTACCCGTCTGTGTGCCCTTGGAACAGCCCTGGGCTCTTGGGAGGACTGGAGCCGGTTGAGGCCAGTGCAGGGCTAGGCTGAGCAACCGCTCAGTAATGGTGGCTCCCACCCCTTCTACACTGACCAGGGCCAGGGCTCACCGCCGACCTGACTCGGGCCGTCACAGGTCTAAGGGAAAGCTACCACAAGCAGCCCCACGACCTCAGTCCACCTCTACCTCAAACCGTTGCTTAGGAGTCTGCCCCAGCCCACGGACACGCAGAGGCCCTCCGCTCTCAGGTCTGCAGCCTCGTGCTCCTTAGTCCCACCCAGGGCTTACCTGGAACAGGTCTCCTCCGACCTTTAACCTACCCTCAGCTTCCCCGCCTCCTGCCTTTCGCTCATGCAGCTCCCTCTCCCTACCCACATCCCCACCTTAAGCCTCCCCAGGTATTCTCCATCCTTTATGGGAGCCCCCACCACCTGCTGCTGCTCCCTTCACCAAGGCGACTTTGTTCCCATGAAGACCTGGCTCCCTCGTATTCGAAGTGTACCTGCAGGCTGCCTCTGTAGGTAACTAAGCACCCTCCACCCCACCCCAGCTTCTCCAGGATGTGAGCTCCTTGGCCCAGCATGTGGTTTGTGGCATGAGCCACGGCAACTAATATAAAATACAGAGGAGCCCTAGCTGGTTTGGCTCAGTGGATAGAGCGTTGCCCTGCGGGCTGAAGGGTCCCAGGTTCGATTCCGGCCAAGGGCACATGCCTGGGTTGCGGGCTCCATCCCCAGTAGGTGACGTGCTGGAGGCAGCCGATCAATGATTCTCATTATTGATGCGTCTCTCTCCCCCTCTCCCTTCCTCTCTGAAATCAATAAAGAGATATAATAAATAAAATGTGCACCGGAACTCTAGATACCACCGCATTTTACCTTCACATGAACTCTGGGAGGTGGGTGTTTATCCCGTCTCACAGATGAGGCTCAGAGTGAAATGAGGCTCAGGACAGCACCAAAGGCCAAAACTTCTCCCTGGGAGTATGAGCCCCTCCCATGAGGCAGGCCTGGGCTACAAGGAACTAGGGGAGGGGTGTGGCCTAGGTTACTGGGGTGGCCCCGTCAGGACACCCAGTTCCAGCACAGCCCCCGAGGGCAGACCCAACCTGGGCCTCCTTTGGGCCGCAGCCTGTTTCCTAAACCAGGGCTCGGCTTTCCTGGGTCGCAGATGCTTTGAGAGCCTAATGGCAGGTCAGACGCTTTCCCCAGAAACAAGCACTGGTGCTCACAACCGCAGGGCACTGTCGCGAACACCTTGGAGCCTGTTTGTCCTAACGGCCTTGGCTGTTTGAGACCCGGGCTCCAGGAAGAGCTTCCAGGCAGGGAGGGGCCCGGTGCCGCTGCCAGAGAACCAGGGAGGGGGGCTTGTGGGTAAAAGACAGTTTATTGGGGCAGCTTAATGCGGAGCGGGCTCCTTGGGCCACAGACCGGCCGGGAGCGGGCAGCAGGGGCAACTGCTCAGGCCTAGGGCACCATCCTGCGGGGCTTCCCCCAGGAAGTGGGGCCAACCGGACAGAGGCACAGTTTTCCGTCACCGACAAGTTGCTGACACGCCGTCGGGGCTGTCGGTAAAGGCCTTGAGGCAGAGCCCATCGGGGCTCCGAACAACACTGGTGGGCACAGATGGCGGCTCCGTGGCAGGTGAGCAGGTGGAAATACTGACGTGGCACTGGGAGCTGGAGGGGCCTTTCCAAGGATGGTCTAGCTCCGAGGGGCTCCCGCCCGGGCAGCAGTGGGCTCTCTGGGGAACAGGGAAGGGAATTTGCCCTCCAGGGCGAGGGCCCCCTCCAGCGCCCCTGTCACCGCGGGGGCAGGAGAGAGGAGACCCAGCTGGGGCTGCCCCGGGGGGCCTGGCAGTCGCGGAAGCCCCCAGCAGGCAGCTGTGTTCACAGAGGCTCGCTGCCAACGCTGCTTCTGCTCTTCTTACGCTTGGCCTTGGTGAAGGGGATGTCGAGGGACTCGAGGCGGAAGGGCCGGGGCTGGGGCATCTCAGGGGCCTGGGAGGGTGGCATGGTGGAGCTGTTGCCCAGGGGGGAGCTGAGGCCTGGAGGCGAGCTGCGATAGGCTGTGGAGGAGAGGCCCGGAGGGCAGAGGGCGCTGGTGAGCCGGGAGTGCAGGGTGGGAGAGAAGCACCAGGTGTGGGTGCAGCCCCTGGCCCGCCCCCACCCCGCCCCAGCCCTGGTCCCACTGCTAGGACCCCACGTTCTAAGACGCTGCTCGGGTTGGGGCCTCAGACCCAGCACCATGTCTGCGCCCAAAGGGTCTGGGCTGGGACACAGCCTGGGTTCAAAGCCCAGCTCCACCCCTTCCTAGAAGGATGGCCTCACTTGGAAGAAAACCCCTCAGTGCTCCTCGGTTAAGAATAGTTGTGTGTGTGTGTGTGTGTGTGTGTGTGTTTCTTTCAGGAACAACGTTCCCTTTTTTACAACGGTAAGCTATCAAAAGCAGCCGGTCAGAGATTTAGGCGGGGCGGAGCCATTCCTTGCAGCCACCCTGAGCTCAGTCAGGGATGCCTGGCTGAGCCTCTCTGAGCCTCAGTTTCCTCATCTGCCGCATGCACACCGCGCCAGGTTCCCAACGGATGTTAGTTTATTTCCTGTCCAACTTTCTTTCCTTATTCCTCAACCCCACCCACTTTGTCTCTTAAATACCCTCAATACAGGACTGAGAGGTGCTTCTCATGGATATTTTACTGGAAGTCCTGAGGTCTTTAAAAGCAGAAGAATGAAGTGATTTTCAGTTCTTGCTTTTGAAAGTGTTTTGCTTTTGTGACCCTGTCTGCCCCCTTGACTCAGGGGAAAGCCAGTATCCTGGCAGCTGAGGGAGCTGGTAACTGACCAGGGTCATGTAGCCCCACACCAGGCCCTGACCAGTGTAGGGGGCCCAGTGCATGTCGGGGGAGATGAATCAAATCGCACGTCTCCCCCAAGAGGAAAGGGGAGACTGTATTGAGCACCTACTATGTGCAGGCCCTGGGCTGGGCCGTTTCCCCATTTTATTTACCTAATCCTGTGTCTCCCCCTCACTTAATAGCTGAGGACCAGGCCTGTCTGACTCCGTCTGCCCCGTCCGCCCCTCCCTGTTGGCCGAGGGCCGAGGGCAGAGGCTGGAGGACAAGAGGTGGGCAGAGCACTCACCGAGGCTCTTCATGGGATCCGTGCTGAGGATCTGGCTGGCCCGCTTTGGCCGGAAGTAGTTACTGGCAATATTCTCACTGTCACTAGATCCCAGATCCTCTCGGTTAAGACCCCTTGTTCATGCAGCTCTTATGTGGGCCCCCACCCAGGGCTCAGCGGCCTCCCCAAGCCTGGTGGGATGGGGCTTCCCAGGCCCCACTGCCCACTCGGGTGTATCGGCTACAGACCGGCCTCCAGGGGTGGGATCCAGCCGAGCCTACACCCCCCACCCCCTCCTTGGGAATGGAAGTGCCTCATGCCCTCCTGCAGACCTCAGCAGAGGGCGCTGTGCCAGCCCCATCCGGGCAAGGACAACAAAACACACCCAAACCCATCACCGATACACAAACACATCTCAGAAGAGTGATACAGCGCTCAGCTCGGGGGCGCGTTTATGATCGTTAGAACTGGAGCCCCAATCTTTCTATCGCCAAGAACTATTGTTTTTCACTCTCATGGACTTTTCTTCACCCTGAATCTCTTCCTTCGGGGACCTATCCTTCTCCCCCCAACATCGTCCTGGTGGGGTGATCATTCAGAGTGCCCTAATACCACCACGGCCTCCCACCCACCCATCCCTTGCTACACAGCTGGACATGTGACCCACACGGGACCAATCACCGAACTCCATGTTCTGGACATAGTCATTGGTCCAAGAGTAGGCCCAGGACCAAGCAGAACGGATCAGACTCTACACCAGCACTGGTGTGAGGACGCGCTAAGAGACCGGTCTCTCTGTTGGGTCACTAATCGCCAGCAGCCATCTTTCCTGCCTTTCTCACTTGGAGAAAGCCTGCCTGGGTCCAGAGCTAGAATACGAAGGGAAGCCTGCCTGTCTGAGCCCCGAGATCCAGCCATGCCTGAAACCGGTCCTCTTAACATGCACCAGTAAATTCCCCTTTTGCTTGGGATTGTCTGCTTTGGGTAGCTATCCCCGGGAGTAAAAGCATTCTGACTAATGTAGCACCTTAGTGGTCCCAGGGTAAGAATGTTGTGTGTGTTTTTCAGGAACAACTTTCCCTTTTTATAGAGTTAAGCTATCAAAAGCAACCAATCAGAGCGTTAGACCAGCGAGGGCCCAGGGAGCCAAACTGTGCTGCTGGGCCTCTGGGATTCGAGCTGCCCCTTCTGGGCTTCCCCCGCAGCTGGGCCCGTCTGAACCGTCTCCTTTTCCTCCGGTCGTTGTGACCACACGTGGCTTTGAAGGAGGGCCAGAGGGGGTTGAAGGTCTCAGTGCCAACAGGTGCACAGGAAGGACCCCCGTTCGGCCCCTGCTTGAATGAATCCTCGGCGGATGGAAGTAGAAGTCCAGCTCCCCATGGTAATGTACTCTGGGGCCAGCCCCCTCAGCCCCACCCCTCGCTCCCTCTCCGGGGGTCTTACCATGCCCAGCTCGCCGCTGTCTGCCGCGGAGGTTTTGCGGGCTGGTCTGTTCTGCAGCCCTGTTGAAACTGCTGTGAGAAAACAAAAGCTGAAGTGCCTGCTGCTCGCTATGGGGGCCAGAAGGACAGGGTGGGCTGCAGCCCTCTCCCCAGCAGGGGACGAAGGGGGGGGGGGGCGTTAGGCCTGGCTCAGGCTTGGTTGGAGCCAAGGGCGGCCTTCCCGGCCCAGCAAAGGGATGCCTCCGGGAAACACAACAGGAGGCTCAGACCCCAAAGAAGATGGCAGGCTGGTGGGGGCGGGAAGAAGGCTGCAGCTGCCTGGAGTGTCAGCAGAGATGGGGTCAGTGGCCATAAACACCGGAGACATGGGGCCTGGACGACCCTCTGACCAGGGGCGGAACGGGCGGGGGCCTCGTGGGCTGTAACAGCTACTGCTCTCTGCATGGGCAGAGCCAGCTACGTGGCTGCAGAAAGAGCCACTCAGTCTGGCCAGACTCCAAGATGGAGGCGCCTTGAAGATCCTCTTATCCCACCCCCACCCCCCACTTCTGTGTGAAGATGTGAGCACCGAAGCCCAAGAGGGACTGTGACCTCCTTAAGGTCACAGGGAGGTCAGTGCAAAGGCAGAAGTTGAACCAGGCCTGCAGGGGACAGCCCCTTTGCCTCCCTGGCCCTGCACCTCATGCTGTGACAGGTTCTCTCTCTGAGTGTCCACTTCCTCCCATGTAAACCAGGGCAGCGGTCCTTGTCCTTCACAGCATGGTTGTGGGGTGAAATGACAGGATCGCGATGATGCTGCAGTGTCCCACGCACTTAAGATGTGCCTGGCGTGGCTCTGAGGGTTTTACGTGTATTGACACATGGTAAGCCACCCGCACCCTTTGAGGTGCTGGTATTAATCCCCATTTCACAGATGAGGACACTGAGTCCCAAAGAGGTCACACAGGGAGTGATGGAGCCAGAATTCCAACTGACTCAGAACACACCGTTCTCTCAGGCCCCCCATGTTTTGGAATCTCGGGGTCACATGTCTGTTTCACCCACAGCCAGCAGGACGAGGCCCGTGGCTTCCCATCAGTCTGCAGGGAACTAAAGTGTGGAGGCGGGAAGGGAGGGCCCAGGGACAGCCAGGCTCCTGACCTACGGGGAGGCTGGTTTTGATGATCATGGGCTCCGGGATCTTCCAGAAGCCGTTGTCCTCGTCCCAGCAGGACTCGCGCCGGACCCGATCCAGGTTGCTGTAGTTACAGTCCCGGCGAATCAGCGGCTGCACCTGCTCCAGCAGCTGCTGGAAGAGCAGGAAATCGCGTTCCTGCCGGCGGATGGTGGCCAGGTAATCGATCTTCTCGAGCTCAAACTCCGACTGCAGGTCTTTGATCTCCACCTCTGCCGCCCGAAGCTGGAGATGAAGCATTTCAAGTGTACAGTTCATTCAGTGGCTTTTAGTACATTCAGATTTTTTTAAAATATATTTTATTGATTTTTTACAGAGAGGAAGGGAGAGTGAGATAGAGAGTTAGAAACATCGATGGGAGAGAAACATCGATCAGCCACCTCCTGCACACCTCCCACTGGGGATGTGCCGGCAACCCAGGTACATGCCCTTGACCGGAATCGAACCTGGGACCCCTCAGTCCGCAGGCCGACGCTCTATCCACTGAGCCAAACCGGTTTTGGCAGTATATTCAGATTTGTGCGGCCATTGTCCCAATCAGTGTGGGAGCATTTCATCACCCCAAAAGGGACCCCATACTCATTCGTCATTCCCCACTTCTCCCACCCACCCTAGGCAACCACCAGTCTACTTCCTACTTATTCTGGACATTGCTTATGAATGAAATCCTGGAAGCACACACTATGTCATCTTTTGAGTCTGGCTTCTCTCACGTGACATGGTGTTTTCAAGTTCACCACGTTGTATCACGGATCAGTGCTTCCTTTTACCGCGGAATACTGTCCCGTTGGGCGAATATGCTACATTCCTCACGTTTATGCCTGCTTTCACTTTGGGCTGTAATGAATGATGCTGCTCTGAACATTCATGTACAAGCCTTTGTGTGGACATGTTTTCATTTCTCGTGAGTGTGACTGCTGTGTTGTTATGAAATAAACAGGAGAGCTACTACAAGGGACAGAAATGTAGATCAGTGCATTTCAGGAGAAAACCCCCCCACAGCACGAGGGCATCGGGCCAGACATTCAACACGTAACACAGCACCCCGATGTGAATAAAACTCCCTTCAACAGGTAGTCACAGACATGAAGACTTCAAGCCAAAACTTAACATGGAAATGGGGAAAAATGAAGACAGTGTGAGATGGGACATTCACCAAACCCAGGAAGAATTTGTGTGGTTTTTGTTTTAAATTTAGGTATGTCGCCCTGGCTGGGTGGCTTAGTTGGTTGGAGTCTTATCCCATATACCAAAAAGGTCGCGGGCTTGATCCCCAATTAGGGCACATACAGGAGGCAACCAATCGTCTCTCTCTCTCTCTCTCTCTCTCTCTCTCTCTTTCTCTTTCTCCCCCCCTCCCTCCCTCCCTCCTTCTCACTCTCCCTAAAAATCAATGGGAAAATTATACTTCGGTGAGGTAACCAAAGAAAGTGCCCCGGAGGGAAGGCAGGACGAACGGAAAAGGGCAGCGGTGGAGGGGCCTCTGGGGGCTGCCTGTAGCTGGTCGATGTTTCTCTCTCATCGATGTTTCTGACTCTCTATCCCTCTCCCTTCCTCTCTGTAAAAAATCAATAAAATATATTTTTAAAAAATAAATAAATAAATAAAAGACACTTAGATATGTAAACCAAGTTATGAGATATCCAAGGAAGAATGAATTTGACTGAAAAAGCATAACAAGAGGTACTAAGAAAAGGCATGAAAATAGCCAAGAAAATATAAAATGAAAGCGGTTTAAAGAGGAAAAGGTCACCACCTTCCTGCTTTGGCAAGACCCTCGGTTGCCAGTGTTGGTGGGTGAGGAGGGGGGACCCGCAGGTGGCCCAGGGGACACCAGGAGGCCCGGACCACGCAGAAGACGCACCACCGAGGAGGAAGAAGTGACTGGCGCAGAGGCGGGGCCTCATTCTCTGCCCCAGCCTCGCTCCCTACGCTCAGCCACGGCCACGCTGCCTCCTCCGTTCCTGGATCCCTCACTGTTCCCAGCACTGACCCCTCCGGGCCCAGAACCCTCTGCCTCAGGTGCTGCCTCTTAGCTTCCAAGGCCCCCCTTCGAAGCCACGCCTCCCTCACAACTTCCTGTCCCCATGGTGGCGGCCCCAGGGGCTCCTGGGGTGAGTGCTCACGTCCACCAATGGGGGCCGGTGTCCTGGTGCACTCGGCCTGCGGCAGTGGATTGAGTTGTGCATTTGTGACATGGTCGTCTGCACTTCAGTGAAAGTGGGAAAATAAAGCCGCCTCCGGTCCAGGTATCTGCAGTGTCATCACCCCAGACTCTGTTGCTTGTTTCTCTGTTGTTGTTTCTTACACACACACACACACACACTCCCACTGGAAAGTGAGCCTCAGGCCGGCTGGCTCAGTGGTTGAGCATCGACCTATGAACCAGGTGGTCATGGTTTGATTCCTGGTCAAGGGCACATGCCCAGGTTGTGGGCTCGATCCCCAGTGTGGGGTGCGCAGGAGGCAGCTGATCAATGATTCTCTCTCATTGTTGATGTTTCTCTCTCTCTCTCCCTCTCCCTTCGTCTCTGAAATCAATAAAAATTATTTTTTGATTGTATCAAACCGTGTATTAATATAATCATCTGTATGTATGTATGTATGTACAGCGGGGCCTTGACTTACGAATTTAATTAGTTCCGAGACCGAGCTCGTTAAGGAGCTCGTTAACTCAAATTACTCTATCAACTCAATGCAAAAAATCGGCCGAGAGACAGCTGGTATCTCAAAAAACTCGTTAATCGGGACACTCGTAAGTCAAGGCCCCACTGTATGTGTGTGTGTGTGTGTGTGTGTGTGTGTGTGTATTTTTTTTAATTAAGCCCTCCTCCCGGGCCTCACCTTCCTCTGCATCTTCTCCAGTAGCTTGCTCTTGGCCCTCACTTCCTCCTGGATGGAGTCGTAGACGTTGAGCAGCACCCACTCCCCGCTGTCCTCGTCCGACTTCTGCAGGGCGGCCACCAGCTGCTTCCTGCGCTCGTCCGCGTAGCGTTTCCGTCGCTTGTGCTTCTCCTTCAGGTCCTTGTTCTTGGCCTGCTCCCCGCCGACCACCTGCTGCTCCAGCAGCTGCAGGCTGCCCACAGGGAGAGGAAGGCACGCGGGACGGTGCCTGCGTCACTGAGTGCTCTCCATCCAGCGCGACCCACGGACCCTCCCAGCAGCCCCGCTTCCCGCAGGCCTCCACTGAGGCTCCAAGAGGCGAGGCCACAGGTTCAGGGCCAGAACCGAGGTTCCTACCGGACCTACCCGACTTGACCGCGGCCGTGGCAGTGCCCAACAGGAAGGGTGAGAATCTCACCCACCCGCCACCCGCCTCCCAGGCTCCGCTGTGCTCCCAGGAGCCTGGTGATGGGCACTGCCTGGCCCAGAGCATCCCCACACCCAGCCCCGCGGGCACATGCTGAGTGCAGTCAGTCAGTCAGAGAAAGACCAATCCGTCCGCTCCCACTGACACGTGGGCTCTCAGAAGCAGAACCAGCCAGCCCAGCTCCTGGACACAGAGCAGATCCGGGCTGGAGGGCTGGGTGTGGGGCTGGCCAAACGGTGAAGGTGGTCAAAAGGCACCAGCCTCCAGTTATAAAACAAGTCCCGGGGATGCCACGGACAGCATAGAGACTAGACTTAAAAACACTGTATTGCATATTTGAAAGTTGTAAAGAAAATATGCTCTAACCGGTTTGGCTCAGTGGATAGAGCGTTGGCCTGCGGACTGAAGGGTCCCAGGTTCAATTCCGGTCAAGGGCATGTACCTTGGTTGCGGGCACATCCCCAGTAAGGGGTGTGCAGGAGGCAGCTGATCGATGTTTCTCTCTCATCGATGTTTCAAACTCTCTATCCCTCTCCCTTCCTCTCTGTAAAAAATCAATATATATATTTTTAAAAAGAAAACGAATTGTACGAGTCCTCATCACAAGTAAGACGTTGTGGTAACTGTGTAGAATGCCGGATGTCACCTAGACTCACAGGGGCAGTCTTCTCGCAATGTCCACAGATATGGAATCAGCACATGGCACGCCTGAAACTTCCATATATGTCCATCACACCTCAGTTTTTTAAATGCAAAAGAAATACATCCAGCACACAATGTTTGATTGGGCGGAGACATGTATAATACATTTTTAAAATATTTACATCCCAAATGTTCAAATTTGTTTAGAGTTCTGCCCTTTATTTAAAATATATTTTATTGATTTCGGAGAGGAAGGAAGAGGGAGAGAGATAGAAACATCAATGATAAGAGAGAATCATTGATTGGCTGCCTCCTGCACGCCCCCTACTGGGGATGGAGCCCACAACCAGGGCATGTGCCCTTGACCGGAATCAAACCCAGGACCTTTCAGTCCGCAGGCCGACGCTCTATCCACTGAGCCAAACCGGCCAGGGCTAGCATTCTGCTCTTTAAAGAACAGGTTTAAGTGACCGCGAGGCAAGGCTCATGTGGACTCCTCGCTGCCCAGTAAAGTGCCACTCAGTGTTTCAGACATTGCCTTGTTCCACAGGGACACGGGCTCATAACCACCACCGCCTCCCAGAGCTGATGGTCAGCAGCAGAGCAGGCCGCGCCCTCACAGCAGGTCGGGGCGTGCTCCAGGGCCAGAGGGGGGCTGTACAGCCTCAGTGGGGGGTCAGGAAGAATCCAGGGGCACCCCCACACCCAGGCGTAGCTCCTTCCCGCTCCGTGAGGGGTCCCTTACCGGGCGATGACCTGCTGCTGGTCCACCATGGGCATCAGGTCGTCGGTCAGCACTGCCACCTCCACGCCCACACTGTGCCTTCTCGAACTCGTCACGGCCAGCTGGGGCGGGACCTCGGCCTCGGGCCCCCCGCCAGGCTCTGCTGCCAACACCTCGTCTTTGTCCCCTTCCTGGCCCAGGTCAGCCTCCTGAGAAACAGAGAAACCTCAGTGGAGGGGGGGGGAGGCAGCCCCCGACAGCAGCTCACAGTGGCCTCTGTCCCACCCGGGGCATCGCGGCCCTCACATGGCGTAGGGACACCAGTTACACAGAAATGCAGCCACCGAGGCCTCTGCTGCCCTTGCCCCAGCACCCGCTCCCGCCCTCTCCCGCCCTCTCCAGGCTTCCTGAGGCAGCCAGGGCAGGTTCTGTGGGCACAAATTGACCACAGCCCTTTCCTGGTTACAGCCCTTCAGGGGTCCCCGCTGCCTCTGCAGTAAATCCAGTTTCTTCTGTGGCCTCCCGGGCCCTCCGTGCCCACTGCTGCCTCCCCCTTGCCACCCCGTCCACCCTGCTGTTTCTCCAGCTTCACTTTCTGTTGCTGAGAAAGTCAAGACCTTCCCAGCCCCAGGACTTTGGCCTTTGCTCTCCCCTGGCACCTTGTCCCTCCTTGGGTCCCTCTCAGTGTCACCTTACAGTAGGGGTCCCTGGGCTAGCCATCTGCCAGCTCCTACCCAGTGCTCAGGTCCAGAGGTTGGCAGGTAGCTTCCTCTCTCCAAAAATGTGAGTAGATTTAAAGCCTTCCTCTCGTTCCCTGGGGCCTGCTGCGCTTTCTTAAGCAGAAAAGGGCGGGTCTGAGAGCAGCAGTGTTCAAAATGCCCCCTGGCCCTCGGTGGGGTCCCTGACAGCACCCCAGCGCCGCCCCCATGCACACTGGGCCTCTCTGCCTTAGACAAGGGTTCCAGGCAGAGGAAATCACTGCTGAACAGCGGCTCTTGTTAATGGTTAATAAGAGGTCTGACAGCGCCTCCAGCCGTGTATGGCTTTGCAATGGGCCGTCTGATGAGCTGGGGTGGGCTGGGGTGGTTGTCCCTGTTTTATGAACGAAAAAATTGAGGCCGGAGAGGGAGGGGACAAGTGGAGTGCCACAGGAAGGACCGGGCCCTGGAAGTCCTCCCAATGCACAGCCAGCCGGCCCAGGGTACTCACGGTCTCGGGCAGGGGGCCGCCCTCTGCCTCAGCTTCTGCTCCGAAGTCACTGAGCTCAGGGACATCTGTCAGGGAGGGGTGCTTGGAGGAGGGCGGGTGGGGGAGAAGGAGGGACAGTGGGGCCAGGGTCAGCCTCTGCTGCCCCACCCTGGCCTCCCCTGCAGCTCCCCACCCGCACCACCACCTCCTGCCTGTCACTGAGGAGAGAAGGGGCAGGAACAAGAGCAATGAGATGAAGGGAGAGAACAGGTAAAGAGGAAACAGGAGAGTGGAGACAGGGCGTGCTCTGAGCACCTGCTGTGTTCCAGGAGTGTTACCTGTCCTGCCTCACAGAAAGCACCCATCAGCCCCATTTTACAGATGAAGAAACTGAGGCCCAGATAGCAACTGCCCAAGGTCACACAACTAAGTGAGTGGCACAGCCAGGACCTGGACCCAGTTCTGTCTGACTCAAAGGCTGTGCTCTACACACACACACACACACACCCATACACCCATGGAAAGAAGAGGCAAGGAAAGGAAAGAAACAAACAAAAAGGAAAACATTTCACCCTAGCTGGTTTGGCTCAGTGGATAGAGAGTCAGCCTGCGGACTAACGGGTCCCGGGTTCAATTTTGGTCAAGGGCATATGTCCAGGTTGCCGATTTGATCCCCAGTAGGAGGCATGCAGGAGGCAGCCGGTCAATGATTCCCTCTCATCATTGATTTTTCTATCTCTCTCTCCCTCTCCCTTCTTACCGGAGGTCAATAAAAATATGCAAAAAACTATTATAGAGAAAGGGCAAACAGCAATATTAAAATATTTCCTCTAATTCCCCTTTAATGTGCATGAATTTTGTGCACCGGGCCACTAGTTTCAACATAAAAAAAGAGGGTTGGAAAGTGAGAGGACTGACAAAGCGGCAGGTGGAGGAGGAGCAGCGCGGCCGGATCCCCGGGGGGTCCCTGAATGGTAGCTGGAGCCCTGCAGACCCAGCCCAGCCACTGCTCTGACCCCGCGAGAGCATGAGGGTGGACCAAGGCCTCCCCCGGATCTCTCAGGCCTGGAAGCTCAGTCTAATCATGGCAACTCGGCAAACTCCCGTGCTGGTGTCCCTCCATCAGCAGAGCAGGTGTCCTCCTGGCATAGCCTTGACCCCAACTTTCCTACCGATTTACAGAGCGTGACACAAAGCCTGTCTTTCCCAGACCCCTGAACGGGAGGCCCTGAGCCGGCCACAGGCCAGAGCCACCACCCAGATGGTGGGGTCGGAGCCACAGCTGGAGCTGTCCATCCCTGTGTGCCCAGTGACCCCTGCCTCCCGGCTGAGCTCTGTCTGCTGAATTCCCGCCCGGCGTCCTGCATGGCATCAGCTACCTGCATGGGGACCTTGGGTACGTCCGTCTGGGGCACGTCTGCCAGGGCCACGGTGGACGAAAGCCTGGCCAGCTTGGCTTCCATGTCGGCAAAGGGGTCGTGCAGGCCGGGGAGCAGCTCCAGGGGCACCAGCTGGGGCTCCTCTCCCTGGAGGGAGGGCTCCTCCCCCAGCAGGGCGGCCTGGCTGAGCTCCTCCAGGAAGTCCTTGCTCTTCGCCTCCACCTCGGGCACAGAGGGGAGCTCCAGGGTGGGGGGCTCCTGGAGCCCAAGGAAGGCCTCGGGTGTGGAGGTTCCTTCCAGAGTGGACGACTCATCAGACCCCAAGGAACTCTCGGACTTGGAGGTCCCCACCCTGGGCAGGTCTTCACACTGGGAAGGGAGCCCAGCCGTGGAGACGCCCTCGCTGGGTGGAGGGTCGCTGATGGAGTGCATCTCGGGCTTCACCGGCATCTCGTACTGGAAAGCAGGTGTGCACTCAGACACGTTGGCAAACTCGGCCTTGGACATGACTTCGGTGTTGAAGAGGACTTCTGCCTTCAGGACGGTCTCTGCAGATGGAGACCTTCCCTTAGCGCCTCAAAGGTTGGAATGAGGAGGCCTTCCCTGGAAGCTGGTCCAACCCCACCATCTCCCAGAGACCACCTGAAGAGTCAGAGCCCCCAGGCCCCCCAGATATCGGTTCCCATCTCTGCCCCAGCCCTCTCCCCCGCCAGCAGAACTCAAGCCCTGTCTCCTTCCACCTCTTCCGGGAAGCCTTCCCTGACCAGGCCGTGGTTTCTCCATTCTCTGACCTCCCCAGCTGTTAAGTGCTGGGCTCTTACCACCTGCCTTGGGACTGCTTTTAACAAGCAAGCCTGTAGGTCTTACTGCCTTCCCAGGTGAGAGCTGATGAACAGCAGATTTCACCCCTAAATCCCCCAGGGGTCCCTGCTGAAGTGCCCAGCTCAAGGCTCTTGTCCACAGGATGGATATGCTAGACCTGTGGCAGTTAAATCACCGTGAATGAGTGTTAGACCAAATGAAATCACTCAGAGAAGAGCATTCAAACTGGACAGGAGGGAGCTCTCTGAGGGGCAGAAAATGCTAGAACCTGCCTCCTGCTTCCTCTGGGTGTGCACAGAGAGTGGCATCCTCCTTCCAGCCTGGACGGACTCTGATCACACAGGCCTCCTTGGCGCTCCCAGCCATGGGCATTAGACCACCTCCCCTACATCCCATCCGCCTCATTGCCACTGTCTGGCTCCCCTGAGACATCCCGGACGCTCCCTAGCTCAGTGGCCTGAACCTGTCCAAACCTCAGTTTGCACACTTACAACGTGAGGACTCAGTGAGTCCCTCCTCCCTGAGCACCTACCCAGGGCCTGGCACACAGCAGTGCCCAATAAACAGCACTGATGATGCGTCCAATATTGTCATCATTACAAGATGGATTTTACAATGTTTGGGGGCTAGGAAGCCTGGGCTGCTTGGCACCACGGGTGTTTGGATGATAGGGATGAAGTGGAACATTCTGGAACAGCCATGGGCAAACTACGGCCCGTTTGAAATGAATAAAACTAAAAAAAAAAAAAAAAGACCGTACCCTTTTATGTAATGATGTTTACTTTGAATTTATATTAGTTCACACAAACACTCCATCCATGCTTTTGTTCCGGCCCTCCGGTCCAGTTTAAGAACCCACTGTGGCCCTCGAGTCAAAAAGTTTGCCCACCCCTGTTCTAGAATGTCAAAAAGAAGACAAAAATGCCCACCTGGGTGTGACTCAGCAGTTGAGCATTGACCTAGGGATCAAAAGGTCACCGGTTCAATTCCTGGTCAGGGCACATGCCTGCATTACGGGCTTGATCCCCAGTGTGGGGTGTCCAAGAGGCAGCCGATCAATGATTCTCTCTCATCACTGATGTTTCTCTCTCTCTCCCTCTCCCTTCCTCTCTGAAATCAATAATATATATATAATGTATACATATACATACATATCCTATATAATAAAAGGCTAATATGCAAATAGACCAAACAGTTGCTATGACATGCAGTGACCACCAGGGGGCAGACACTCAACTCAGGAGTTGCCCCCTGGTGGTCAGTGCGCTACCAAGGGAAGTGCCGTTCAGCCAGAAGCCAGGCTCATGGCTGGCACGCACAGTGGAGGCGGCAGGAGCCTCTACCTCCCCCACGGCGGTGCTAAGGATGCCCGGCTGCCGGCTTAGGCAGTCAGAAATCCCCCCAAGGGCTCCTGGACTGTGAGAGGGCATAGGCCAGGCTGAAGGACCCCCCTTCCCCAGTGCACGAATTTTGAACACTGGGCCTCTAGTGTGTGTGTATCCTATATAATAAAGATGTAATATGTAAATTGTCGTTACGCCATGAAGCATAACTGACAGCGTAACGACTGGATCATGGATCAGCAGAAAGGTGGGGCAGCGAGCTACAAGTGGGCGGAAAGCTACAGGAGGGGGCAAGGCAGCAAGCTATGGGGGCAAGGGGGAGCTACAGGAGGGTGGGGCAGTGGGCGGAGAGCTACTGGAGAGCGGCAGCAAGCTACTGGCACACAGATTTGTGCGCGGGGAGATAGATAGATAGATAGACAAATATAGAGATAGATATAGATATAGATATAGATATAGATACATATACAAAAACTTCCAGGAAGGTTCAAGTTCTTACGAATGATTGAATGCTTATGGGATATGGTTGCTTTGGTAACAGATGGACTCAAAAATGAGAGGAGAGAGTAAAAAATGCAGAAACTAGAAGAGGACTTACCCATGACACATGGGGGATACGTTACAACTCTCAGTTGGCCTTGGGCGAGGGCCCCAGCCTGTGGCCAAGGCACCACGCAAGCAGTGCTGTGGGTGAGAACCCTGGCTCTGGGGTCAGACGGCCTGGGTTCGAATCCTGTCTCCACTCTACCTGCTGTGTGACTTACTCTCTCTGTGCCTCAGTCGCCTCATTTACAAAATGAGAGTCACTGTGGCACCTCCCTCGCTGGCCGTTGTGAGGAGGACACAGAGCGAACCCTGGTGCGTACAAAGTGCTCTATAGGCGCCAGGGGGTAAAATGAGGCGGCAAGCAGGCCGGTCTCCCCCCAGAGCCGGGGCAGGCGCGCACCTGTCTCCTTGCGCAGGCTCTCCTCCAGCGTGGACAGCTTCACGTCGTACGAGTTGCGCATGGCAGTGATGTCCTCCTCCAGCCGGGCCCGGGACTCCTGCTCCACCTTATAGTCGGCCCGCAGCTGGGCCAGGCGCTCCTCATACTCCTGGGGGGCGGGGTGTGTGTGTGTGTGAGAGGAGCACAGGAGGGCAAGCGCTTTATCACTATTTCAAAACACAGCTTTCAGTATGCCTCCCCTCCCCCCCCCTACCCCTAGTGATCCAGAAAATACAAATAAGCCAAAAGAACTGAATGAAAATGACCCACCCAACGCTGGAATGGCTGGTGAAGACCCTGTGCATGTTTAACGGGTGAATAATGCATGTGTGTGTGTCGTCTGTTTTTCCCACACAGCAATACATCAGGAACACCTCTTCGCATCAACAGATAGGTTTTAACTAAAGGGTCCTCATCCCAGTCCTCCAACTCCCCTCTCTCTAGCCCTCCGTACCCCGCCCACTTCCTGTCTCACACTTTACAGAGAACTCTGAAGCCTCTGGCCATGAACTTCCTCACCTTCCCAATCCCGCACCTTCCATCCACCTGCAGGTCCGCCTGCCCCAAAGCTCTGTGTCCTCTCTTGTGACAGTGGACGAACCATCTGACACTGAGCCACCCCACCGGGGACTTCACTCTTTCAATCCCCATCTCCCTTCTACATCACCGACTTCTCCCTCCGTTTGAGACCATTCCCAGCAGTTTACAAAACCTGCTCTCTTCCTTCCAATATTAAAAGCAATAAAACCCTTCCTGGATCCCATGTGCGCCTCCAGCTACAGTGCCCGTGCCCAGAAGGTGCTCAGAAAACCGTGATTCAATGGGGGTCAAGTGCAAACCCCGGCAATGAGACCCCTGCAATAGGGAAGCTGCCACTGTACCCATTCTAGAGATAGAAACAGGCTCCAGCGCTTCAGCAACCTGCCCAAGGCCACTGAGCCCGTTAGAGCTGGGCCTGCAGACTGTAAAGCTGCATGGACCCTAGGAATCTTCTAGCTCAAATCCTGCCCCATAAGCCTAGGAGACGGAAGCCCACAGTCACACCTCCAGCTCACAGCTGAGTCATCCCCTGGCCCGGCACCCTCTCCACGGCACGCAGGGGCCACCTCCCTAATCCCGGGCGCCCTGACTGGTTCTGGAATGGGAGGGTGAGAGGACAGACCCCCTCAACGCTTCCTCTCGGTGTGGCTCACAGAAGAAACTCTAGGGTCAGGAAACAGACTTGGTGGTGGCGGCCTCTGGGGTAGCCTCCACTGGGCTGCCCCCTGGGGCGGAGGCAGGCACCCCCATTCCCCAGGTCGATGGACCCTGGAGCCTGCACAGCGTCTCTTCTCCCTGGTGGCCACCAGGGGGCGGTGCCTGCCCACCCAATGGGTCTTCCTTGGGAAGGAAGCTTCCATCCCACCCCCGACCAACCCTTCCCACCCCCACTGTTTTGTGACCAATGGCCACCTGTTGCTGTGATTCCAGACCCACTCTGAGCCCCCAAAGTGTGACCTCTCACTCTGTGGGCCTGGGCTCGGCATTGCTAAAGGCGGCCTCCTCACCCTGCCCCGGAGCTCCCAGCAGGGAAAAGGCAGACAGAGCCGCTGAGCTCCCAAACCTGCACGGGGCCAGGACGGTGCCCAGCTGAGCCTCTCCCTGAACGGTAACGGCCTCTGCCCGCCCGGGGCAGCTCTCGGGGACCCTCAGTCCATTTCCCCAGCCTCTGGTCCACAGGACGGAGGCCCCAGGCCTTACCTGGTCTGCCCCCCGAGGCTGGGCCCCGGGCCCCCACAGCCTGACCAGGCTCCCAGGGTCCTCAGGGCTGGTCCCACCTGAGGTCATAGTTGAGTGGCAAAGGCCCAGCAACAGACACGTCCAGGCCCCAGGCCCCGGGCCCTGCAGCTGTTCCTGCTGGCACTGGGCTCTCCACCAAGAAAAAGCCAGGACCCTAAAGGGACTGCCAAGTGCCAAACCCCATCACATTTGGGCCTCAGAATGTGCCTTTAGCAGGAACCTCTGGAAGCTAACAGAGACTGGAGTTGGGGGCCGGCTGTGTTAAGTGCCCCTCGCCCCCCAACCCCAGGGATCAGCTCCGTATTTGCAAATCAGGGTGTTACCTGCCCTGCCGTTCCCGGGATCCTAGGAGCCCACATGTGGGAGGAGGACCCGAGTAACAGCTTTTTCTGGGAGACTAACACACCCCACTTATCCACCAGTCAAATGGGCACCTGGGGGCTCCCCACCGCCCACCACAGCTGCCCTGCTCTCAGCCCAGGCTTCTTGGCACCTGCTGTGGGAACAACTCCTTCCATCTGACCTCCGCACCTCTGCACAGGCCACTTCCACTACCAGGAAGGCCTTCTCGGCTTCCTCCAGCCCACAGCCCCCCATGCCTGCTGTGAGGAGACAGGGACTCCTGCAGACACCCCCACACCCCTTCCTGTTCTCCCACTCAGGTGGGATGAACTGGACTCTGGAGTCTGGAACCCGAGTTCAAATCCCCGCTCCAACTCTCCTTAGCTGTGTGACCTTGAGCAAGTCATGGCCCCAGGATCTCTCCCCGCTGTGTGACTCCGAAAGGAGACTGTCGTACCAATCCCAAGAAGATGGGGGTGAAAGGACATCGTTCTGGAGGTGGTCGCCTGCCGGCCCCACCTGCCCGCCCACTCTCCCACCTGCTCCGGGTCTCACCTCCCGGATCAGCTGCTTCTCAGCCTCCGTGTCATGCTGGATCGCAGGCGGGGACGATGGCTTCTCCTCGGTCTGGACAGGGTTCGGGAGCACCTGGTTGGACAGCAGGGCTGGGGGGGAGGGGACAGAAATGAGGAGCTGTGACCCGGGTGCACACCGTTTGCAGGAACTAAGCAGCAATCCGCAAAGACAACCACATGCTCGTTCTAAAGGACTGCAGAGTATTGAGCTTATTCGAAGCGCGTCTCTATGTAAAGTGCTAATTTACTCTGTCATTTCAGAAAGATTCCTTGAGCACCGCCTGCTCTAGGCACTGGGGGTGTGGCAGCGAACAGAACAGACGACGCTCACTCACCTCATCCCACATGATGGTCTGCTGGAGGCCCCCCTCCCCAGGAGAGGAGGTACCCAGGAGGTAGAGCCTGGATCCGATTCACCTCTGTCCCCCCAGTGCCCAGCACAGGTCCACACGGAGGGGGTGCTCAGAGAACTTTGGGTGGATGGTTTTTTAGGGGTGGGTGGAGAGAATGGATGGGGGGGGGATGGATGGATGGATGGATAGATGGATGGATAGATGAATGGATGGATAGAGAGGAAGGTGGGTGGGGAGCTGGATGAATGGAGAGATGGACTCAGGCTCCTTTGTGTTCCCTTCCCCAGAGGTTTCTCAGATGAGAAGAAACCTTGGTGTCCTGCAGCTGCAAGAGCCTTGCAGACCTGCCAGATATGATTTCTACTAGCAGATGACAGCCAATGCCTGGGCACCAGCACTGCCATCACAAGGTGCCCAGTGGGAGTGGGGTTTGGAGGTGGAGTGAGTCACCCCACTGCTGAGCAGCACAGCATGACGCCGCTGCCTCAGAGGCCGTGGGCAGACGGGGGGCAGGGAGCAGGCGACAGAGCCCCCCTCCCAGCTGATGGGACAGGATGGACACAGTGGCCTCTTCCGGGGGCATCAGCGAGCAGACACTCTGGCTGTCACTCCCCAGGGCTCTCCCCCACTGGTCCAAAGCCAGGTTCCATGAAGCTGAGGGGACATGCTCAGCTGGAGGCAGGCAGGCCAAGGGCCGGAGCCTTTGTCCTGGGCCCCCTGCCCCTTCCTGCCACCTGGTCCGAGCCGCCCACCTGACAGGTTGCTGAGGCTCATCTGCTGGGCCAGGATCGCCTTGAGCTTCTTGATCTCCTCCTGGTACTCGCGCAGCAGGGCGTCCTTGGGGTCCTCGTTGATGTGCGGCTTGTTCTTGATGTTCTTGGCTCGGTTGGCGTAGCGCAGCGTGCTGAGCGTCTCGTCGTAGTTGTTGTCGGCGGGCGACAGGCAGGCCACCATCAGCGTCTTGGTGTTGCCGCCCAGGGAGTCCTGCAGCAGCCGCGTCAGCTTGGAGTCCCGGTAGGGGATGTGCTTGCAGCGCCCGTCCACCAGGGCCGAGATGACGTTGCCCAGCGCGGACAGCGACAGGTTGATCTTGGTGGCCTCCTTGAGCCGCTCCCCGGTGGCACCCGTCTTGGACTGCCGCTCGCTGCCCGCCAGGTCCACCAGGTTCAGCTTGCCCGCCCGCAGGTGGTCCTTGCCCCGCTCGTCTGCAGACAGACCCGGCGTGGAGAGGTGAAGGCCCCTGGTGGGGACCCTCCCCCCCATTAATGAGGCCAGTTAGCGATCAGGCACCCCACCCACCAAGGGCTCCCCGCCCACCGAGGGCCTCATTTCAGCCCCACAGGAGCCCCATGCAGGAGGTGCTCTTACTGTGCCCCTCTTACAGGTGAGGAAACTGAGGCTCAGAAAGGGCATTTAACTTGCCCAAGGCCCACAGCTGCTAAGGGGTGGAGCCCGGATCAGCCCCCCGGGGCTGTCTGACTCCAGGAAGCAGGGGCTGGGTGGTAGACTATTCTCTGAGAGCAGCAGACTATGGCTATCGCAGCAGCTCCTACAGATGCCTGTGAGGCCAAAGGTGTGTGTGTGAGGGGGGGGGGGCACTGGGTCACCAGGCAGTTGTATTCTTAAGGCAGAAGCATTGGCTCTGGAGACCCTTGGACCTGTTCCCATCCCACTTGCTGTGTGACCCCGGCAGAGCCAGGCGCCTCTCTGATCGTCAGTTCTCTCCACAAAATGAGACTGAGCAGAGCTCCCCACACGCTGGCTGCTGAGGGGTGAAGTAAACCGACAGCACATTTTCCAGGGTCCCCGCAGGCCGGGTGCGGAGCACAGCCTCCAAGGACAGCCAGCCCTCCGCTTGCCCTCCGGTCGGCAGCAGGGGCTCGGAGCACAGATGTTGAGGACTCAGACCCGTGGGGGTTCCAGCTTGACTCCGTCCCTCAGTGGCTGTGAAACTTGGGGGGAAAACTTCACTTGCCCCTGAGCCTCAGCCTTCCTCTCTGTAGAGTGGGAACCAAAGGCCCTGAGGGGTGCTGGGAGGGAGGCCTGCACCAGCAGCACCTGCGGGAGGGCTGGGGCTGTGCCTGGCACTTCACACGTGCTCATTAATCGGTGGCTGTTGCTCTTACTACTATTAATAATTCTTTTTTGCCTGCAGACGACACCATACATGGTTCCACATGAGATGAGAGGGGGTGGGGGGCAGGGGCAGGGGCTTCCTCCTTAGTTCCCTGCTGGTTCAAACCAGAATTGGCCTAGTTTTGCCCATAAACACAGGGGCCTGAAGTAAAGAAAGAAAATGTTTAGCTGGTGCTCAGGAGAGGCTTGTGCACAGGAGGGGCTTGATTTTGGGGGCTATTACAGGAGGAGGGGGCGGAGGAGCAGGAGC